ATAGACATGTGCCCAGCAAATGTGTATATATATATAGTAAGATGGGAATAGATGTTGCACTGAAAACAGCCCAGAAAGACCAAGTGGCCACTAAACATGATAAATAGTAATTAGCTTTATGTGAATAACTTCACATTTATAGATTTCACATCTGGCCATAACCTTGATGAAAGTATAAACTGCAGGTTTTTTTCTTTTCTCACCATACTTTATGGAGTTGGTTTTTTCCAGAAGTCAATAGTCCTTTACTATATGAAACGAAGCCAATTCACATAGAAAGCAGGGCACAAAAAGAAGCTGTTCTTCAGTCTGTCATGATTTCAGATTCTTACATGTTTTGCATTTGGAAGAGAGTAACTCAGTCCAAATGGAAGCTGACATGATCTGCAAGAGAAATATCAAGGCGACTCGGGGAAGAATACCACAGAGCAATCGCAGTTTTTATGCTGGGAATAGGAGATGCTATGGCATTGTCTGCCAGGGAAAGAAGGGACATTTTTCACTCTGTCAATGGCAGGTCATGTATCTTTAAATAAACAAGAGAATAAATAATTTACAGGCCTTGATTGAGGCAATATTGGCTATGCAATACTGTGGTTAACAAATAGGGCTGTCAGCTCTGATTTCTTATGGCCCATCTAATCGTTATCTGAGGATAACAGCACCTGAAATCTTCAATAAAGTTCATTTGTCAAAAAGACATCATCCCAGGTGAAGAAACACCAACCTCTTTCAGCTTTCTGCTTCCAGCTTTAGGTTTTCCAGGCAGGGGTGGAGAAATCTTAGAAACACTAGAACCGAGATATGTTGTTAGCCATGAAATAACCATTTTCCAAAGTTAGAAGTGGTGGTGCAGTGGTTGGAATGCAGTATTGCAGGCTAACTCTGCCAACTGCCAGCTTTCCATCCTTCTGAGATCAGTAAAATAAGGAGCCAGATTGGGGGGGGGGGGCAATATGCTGAATCTGTAAACCACTTAGAGAGGGCTGTAAAGCAGTAGGAAGTGATATATAAGTCTAAGTGCTATTGCTAGGAGGATGGGAAACAACAGCAGTATAACTCTGAAGAGCTAATCATTCACAGCAAACAAAGGGGAAAATTGGTTCCAGTATAGTAAAAAATTATCAGCAAAAAGTTGTCTCTCTTTGTCTCACTTTTGTATTTTTAGTCTGTTTATTTGTGTGCAGCTTTCTCTACATTAGATTGAGGCAAGAGCTGTTCAAATAAAATTCAGTTCAAATAGAAATATCAGTACAAATCAAATAACAAACTGCATTTATAATTCATTTAAAATATATCCAATTCTAAATAAGACAAATCTTTGGATGAGTTCCCAATATCCATTATCAAAACCAGCTTTATAATCACAAAGTATTTTATTCAATAGTTCATATTAAGAGAACATATGAAATATTTGAAAAGATTTATGGTAATGTTGGCAGTGAACACAGATGGTCTCCCCTTAAGTTAAACATTACAGAAATTTTTAGCAAAGAATGATATTAAATATCAAGGCTGACATAGGTTTCAGTAAAGTTCAGTGCTATATAGTAAAATGATAAGTAGATTTAAGAGTGATATATATTAATTTGGCAATATGGCTTTTGGAGATGTTTTGGGTGGAAAACTATGAAAAAACAAGATGGGGAAAGTAATAAAGAATACGGTATATTAAAAAGCAGGACGAAATGCCTTTGCCTAGACAATACAAAAGAAAATAGTTCATATCATTTAATTTCATTGAACCATTGTAAAAAAGCGATCATCTATTGCAGGCCAGATGTGGCCCATGCAGGCCACGCCCACCCCTGACCCCGCAAGGGCAAAACAAATCCCAATACATCACCTATGGCCCACGATGCGGTCGCGTTTGACACCCTGCATCTGGTGCAACAATGGCTAACCTACAAATTACATTAAATATCCCTTTTCTAACAGTGAGGATAATTAACCAGCTTGCCTTCAGAAATTGTGGGTGCTCCATCAGTGGAGGTTTGAAGAAGAGACTGGACAGTCACTTGTCTGAGATGGTATAGGTTCTCCTCCTTGAGCAGGGGGTTGGACTAGAAGACCTGCAAGGTCCCTTCCAGATTCTATTCTATTCTGTTCTGTTCTGTTCTTCCTTGCTTCTTTCCATAGACAGTTGATATGGTGGAGTCTGATTTGGATTAATAAGCAAGAAAGGCAGACATAATTCTTCAAAATGCAGCCTAACCCTGATGAATGTTTAGATTAGGGTTAGAAATAAAAATACCACAATACCACTTTTAAGAGTAGTATTTTAATTTTCTGATCACAAGGATACTCACATTTTGCAGTACAAAGTATGACAAAGTAAGAAGCAAAGCATGGAGCAAATTTTGACAGTGCTCCCATTTTCTTTCTTGTCAAATTTGAATTACATTTATCGTTATGACTCTCTTCTACATTGCTTGTGACTACTTCCAGCTGATTTTCAGCTACAGTCTGAGAATCCCTGGAGATAGAATTAATTTTTACCCAATCTAGGCCATGGTGCTGATCTGACTATGTGGAAATGAGGTGCACATTCCATGAAAACAATATTTTTGGCTTTTAATGTTCATTTTTTGATGCTTCAGATAAATGGCACCCAGTCATTTCCCAGGCAACACTCTCTACCTCAACATAACTGCCTGTAACTCCAGGCCTTTCCCTCTTATCTTCCCAGAGATTTCTTCCTATTGTGATGCATATTTGTTCCACCTCAATGCTGAGAATGGTCTCCCTGCATTGTTTTAAGGGTCCTGAATGCTGAATATCATATTTACCCTTTTTTCCCAACTACTGGAAAAAATATAATTCCATAATGGAGGTTAATCTGTTATCTGTATGGAGGTTAATCTTCCATTCTGGAAGTGGATATTTAATTAAATGCAACTCCTCACAAACTCCCTCCTTATTTTCCCTTTGTCCTTCTTTATCTTTTGCCATTTAATGCATATTATACCCCAGGGGAGAAATAAATTGCACAACATGAGCCTTATTCTCCAAGCACTGCTGCTTCCTTGCATGATATATTGCATTGATCATGTCTGTTTCTCTATTTTTTCCCCAAATAATAAGTTCCCAATGTATCTTGAAAGGTTAAAGAAATCTGCTTACCAGCAGAGTAAGAGTTGTATAAAAATAGGCAATGTCAGATTGGTTATACAATTTTTATTCAGATATCACTAATATATGGTAGAATCTTTATGCACATAAAATGAATACTTTCTAGAACATTAAAACTTGGTTTATAACTATATTGTACATGTATATTTTAAAAAGTGCTATACAGTGGAAAATATGTACAAAATGCGTATATTATAAAAACGTACAGTATCATGTTCAGTTTTTAAAATATGTAGAATTAGTGTTTTCTGCCTAAGGAGACTAGGAGGTATCCATGTGTTAAGTTGAGAAAATGTACGTGGAAACACATACATATATTCATGCAGACTTTGGATAAGCCAGATTTGTTAATAAAATTAGAAGCTGAATTTGTGGAAAACAAGAAAGACAGATTTGCCAGTATCTATGTATTTATAACAAGAATTCTTCAAAGAGGGGGTAGAAGTTTGGAAGTTGAAAACAGCCACACATATTTACTCAGTGTTCTGACCTGGTATCTGGCAACTGCTTGAGTCTGAGGCTTTTTACCTCAAACCTGACAAGAATGAGAGGCTATGGCTGTTTGATACCCCTGGGATTAGGGACCTTTTCATCATTAACCTCAGGTGAGGTAGCTTGTCTCTATTCAAGACAGATCTGTAACTTGGGGGTCCTTGCTGAACTCACATCTTCTGATAAAAGAATGGGATAGCTGTAGCAAGGATAGGCTTTATATAGGGTTATCTTGGTTGCTAGTTGCCACATTTCCTTGACAGTGAGGTTCTTTAGATAGTTACTCACCTCAATGGTCACCTCACAACTAGATTATTATAATATGCTCTACATCTGACTGCCCTTGAAAACCATTCAGAATCTGTGCTTGGTTCAAAATATAGTGGTGTGAGCAGTAATAAGCACTTTTCAATATGTCCATACTAATCTATTGCTATGCAAGCTGTATTGCTTGCTGTCAGCTTCCAGAGGCAATTCAAAGTGTTGGTTATCACCTATAAAGTACTTCATGGCATAGGGCCTGGTTACCAACCTTTCTCAGTTGGTGGACTGGAGAGAAAGGGGTGGGGAAGCAAGCATGCATGCAATGCAAACAGGGCAGGGCTAGCACCCACATGATACTCACTAGCTCTGCCCTGTTCTTGCATGGTGCAGCACCTCATTTCTATGCCCCACAGTGTGACGGTGCCCATTTTCACACCCCATGGTGCAGCGGCATTCTGTTTTCACACCCAAGGCACTGCAGCAGCCCGTTTTCATGCCCTGTGGCATGGTGTCCTGTTTTCGTATCCCACGGTCATGATCTAGCGCGAGTGGGTGGGTGTGCACGCACACGTGTGAGCACTGCCCAGCCTGTCTCGTGGTCTAGTGGCCAGCAGGTCATGGCCCACTACCGGGCTGTGGCCCACAGGTTGGGGTCCCCTGTCCTGGAGTTTCAGAAAGTTTTTCAGATCTGACTGTGCTCCCAGGCCTGGGGCTAATATTTGTGGGACCCCTATGGTGGTTTCTATCATTGTATATATCTGATTTAATCTGCTATTTGCTGTTTTGTTTTTAATTGTTTCTACTGGGCGGGGTTTTTTTATGTTGTAAGCCATCCAGAGTCTGTTGGAGTGATTGATTGTCATACATTTAGAATTATAATATTAATGAACATTGGTCTACACTCTTTCTCCTGTCCTGTATAAGAATCATAAGAAGAAGAAATCATCTTAAATTCTACTTATTTTGCATCTTGGCAATTTTAACCTGAAGTTAGCAGCTTCCATTTCTGGCATGAAACATTCACCCAAGTTTTCTCATTAGGCAGAGACTCGACACATGTACATGAATTAATTGATGATATATCTATGTGCCTTATCTTTTTTCCCCACCAGCTCTGGCTACCAAACAGACGTATGTCAGCTATAGCAACCATGCAATTTAAACCCAGCCAGTGGCAATAGACCACAAGAAAAGGGCTGACGAGGAGGATGAAAATGCATCTGAACTCTTCAGTACAGATGATGTTATTATGGTGGAGGAGAAGGTAAAACCAAATCTGACTCCATGAAGGCATCATATAGGTGCTTGTTTCCAGTGACTGGGCCGCTGGAGGAAGCTCTTCAAAAAGATGGCCACCAAGTGTAGTCGAAAGGACCAACCAAGTTTTCCTTCGAAAAATATCTGCCTTCCATTAAAGGGAGAGGAACCAATGAACATCACACCCAAAATAAAGAAATGGACAGGTCTTAAGCAACCTTTTTTTGCATCCCCCCCCCCGTATCTTGGCAAAAGATTGAATAAATTTCCCTTTTATTCCCCAAATTGTGAAATGGTTTGTGCTTGTGAAGTCTTTTTTTATTTTTTTCCTTTCCCCCCCCTTTCTATCTTTTTTTTTGATTCCTCACTTCTGACTTCATCATCTATTTCTCATCTTGTTTCTTTTCTATGTCCCTCTTTCCTCCTTACCAAGTTTTCTATGTTGCAAAAATAACAAAAGTCCTTTAAAAAAACACAAAAACCATCATCAACAACAAAAATGAAAACAAAACCTAGACTGTGTTCAAAGTGCTGATTTCTATAGGTGGTAAATTAATGTATGTGATGACCATATGGATTGAAATATGTCTGCTTCAATGTACTGACCAATCAAAAATTATTAAAAAAAAACAAAAAAAATTAATCAAAAAGTTCAGTGCCTGGATGTTTATGAATTATTTAATGACAATGTGTAGAGCATGATCATTTTTATACCAGAATATTTCTAATAAAAAACTTGGTTTTGCACTCATGAGTTGTATTTTGTTGCTTCATTCTCATCTCTAGAAGTTGCTTTACAAAAATAAATGCTGTGGTCACATTAAACATAATAAAACATATTTACATAATAGGTGCTCAAGTAGTAAGTTTTAATATCATCACATCACATATATCATTTACTTTTCATAAAAGCAAGGGATGCAGCATCTGGATTATATGAAGAAATGAAATAATTTCTTACCCTCCAAAAGTCTTGGGTGCAGTCACAAGACTCCCAGAAGTTTCTATTAAATTCTAGTTCTGAGGGCACTGAAAAAGGAAAAATATTTAAACAACGGGAAGCATTTAATTAAACCATATTTAGTGAAATAATATTCAATTAATCCACTGTAATTATAACTGCATTTAAATTGAATCATATATTATTTTATCTGGTTTTGGCATGCAGTCCCAACTCAAACAAGATATGCATTAACATGCTATAAAGTGATACTTTAGCTAACTCTGGAACTATATGAATCATGTTTTTCATTTGCCAATTCTCCAGGGATATTATAGGGGTTGATAACATCATGCCTTTAGATGTCAAGGTGTTCGTCTCCTCTAAAACACCACTTACAATCTCCTCCCAATAAGGGGGAAAAAAAAACAAATACTTGTTTAAAACTAAAAAAGTATCCTAAATCACATAAACCTGGCAAATCTCATTCAAATGTGGTGATCTCAGCTGACAGAACAAACAAATAATGTGAGAACACTGAAATCTTGCAAAATCTAATTAGATTTCGATTTTATTGCAAAGTAACATCTTCCACCAATCTTGGGAATTTTCAGACTGATATACGGAATGGAGTACCATAATTATTAGGAAAAATCACACAATGGCACCTTGGGTCTTGAAAGAATTGGCAACAGTAGACCAGATTTCTCTTATTCTCTCTCCCCTTCTCTCCACATATTCTATGTGTGTGTTCACGTATGCATGCAGTTAAAACTACAGTAGGCATTTCCTTCTGCCATACAAATATACACATGCCCTCACACCCACATAGAGTGATAAATATATATTTCACTTTGTACATCCTACTAAAGACTTATACAGACAACCTCAAATTCTGTTCAAAATGCCAATGTGCACAGAATGACAAATGGCATGATGGTAAATAAATGGTACATGCAGAATTTAGCTAGAAAAAAAACAAAACTTTCCCCAAGTCTACTGCTTGTCAGTTGCTTACCATAATCTTGAAAAATGTCACATACTTTGAAAGTAGGAACATAAAATCAATATACAGATGGCAAACTGGAAGGTAATGCTTTAGCATGAAGATCAAAATTGTACAATGGGAATTTATTCAGCAACAAGGGCTGAATAAAATAATAGACTTGAAGGCTAGATGTCTATGGAGATTCTCAGTCATCCAGGTCATAGTTATCCCAAAGGTACTTTTTCATGAGGCAACTAGACTTTCTTGTTTTTCTTTGAAGACATTTCGCTTCTCATCCAAGAAGCTTCTTCAGCTCTGATTGGATGGTGGGGAATGGAAGAATAAACCTCCAAGTGGCCTCAACGACTCTCTAAAATAATGCAAATGTCTAGCTGTCTGCAAGGAGTACAAATCCTTCCATTCCCCATCATCCATCAGAGCTGAAGAAGCTTATTAGATGAGAAGCAAAATGTCTTCAAAGAAAAACAAGAAAGTCCAGTTGCTTCATGAAAAAGCACCTTTGGAATACTTGAAGGCTAGGTTCACAAAACATGTAAACCCTAACCATGGGTTAATATAACAAGTCATGCCCAAAGAATTAAATCATTACACATGTTCCCATAATACACTGAACAACAAACTTTTGATCTCCCATTTTAGGTTACTTTATTGTGTAAATCCAGCCACTGAGATGGAAGAAAATTCTTAGACCATCGTCTAATCTCCCTGTTTGATCCAGACTTACTGTAACTTTGATCTTATCAGACAGTTAACTATGTCAGTGAAGGTGTTCATTTGTCATGGGAGAACATAAAAAAGGATTAATTAAAAGAGCCAAATAACTCCCGGAGGATTCTATTTAGTCTTAAACATAACCAATGATACATATATTTAAATGAAAGCCATCTAATAAGGTATGTCATGGGAAATATTGACCATAGTGCTAACTATCCTATTTCTTTGTAAAAGTCAGACAAATTCCTAGGTAATTTTGTGAAAATGGAGCTAATCTAGCTAATATATAGCTGTTTAGGTCTGTAATCCTTATAGTCCTACATGGAGAACTGAGAATTGAAGATTGAATAGGCACACATTGGAGGCAGGTAAGAGTCTCCAGCCCAATCTGTTTGCATGTCATTTACTCTGTACCATTGCAGATTTTTCCTTGTTTTCTCACATTTGGGAAGAGAAAAGGAAGAGGAAGGGCAACACAAAGTGGCAAGTTCCCAACCTCTTCTTCAGCAATTGTGATGATTCAGCAATCATCACTCAATTCACATCCTACCAGCTCTAGTTGTGGAATGTTTCAGCACATTGGTGAGTCTATGACAAAGGGCATGGCAGAGGGTTGTTCATGTCATAGGATCAGGACCAGAAATCCACTGAAATAAATAGTAGTTTAATTAAACACAACCACAGTATTTTCTATTTCACTGTGTTTATACTAACTAAAGTTTAAATCTGGTCAATGGAGTTTGTATATACAAGAATTTTCAGTTCACAGCAGGCTGGGACACAAAATATAAAAGTCCAGATGCAGAGTCCCCTAGGAACTGCAGCAATGTGTTTTCTATCAGTCCTATGGTCCTTAACTCCATCAGCTAGATTCTTGCAAGGTTGCTTGCCCCAACTTTTAGCTAGGTTTTATTCGCAACTAAGCAGGATGTCATCCTGATTCATATCAGTCTTGCCAACAATTTATCCACTGATAAATACTAGCTCCCATATCCACCTCTGTACATCCCTGCAAAGCATTTTGAAAAGGTCCTTTCTTCAGCTCCTATAATCCTGGTCCTGTACAGTTGGTGCATCTTGTAATCATTTCAAAAGATTACATATATGTATTCTCAGAAGGGCATTGAGAGAAAAGCTTTCTCTGTGAGTCTGGTCTATTAGCATTTTAATTATGTTCTTGCCCCAGGTGGTCTTTTTGTCTCCTGGATGACTGAACACAAAGGTGCAACATAACAGCATCAGTTTGCAAAGTATGTGTACGGTGTGTATGTGTGAATGTGCGCATATAGAGTGCTGCAAATTGTCCGGCACAGTTTTAGGATTACTCCTGTTCATTCACGAAGGTTAATGTATAGCCCACCCTCTCCTGTCAGCATTTCAAAATTCTCTTAGCTCAGTAGGAGTTTCCATATTTTGCAAGGCAACACTCGGAAAGGCTGGTCTCAACTCCAACTGTGCTATTTACATTGCTGAAAACCAGACTCAGAGCAATGAAAATCCATCACAATATGCTCCACAGATACAGCTCAGCTATAAACGATCCCCAGGGTTTTATCCAGTGCTTTTTTTGTAAAAAAAAAAAAATGGTGCTGGAACTCACACATGTTATACGACCCGCCTTGCCTACCACACAATGTTCCATCCAAAAAAGGTACCGGAACTCCATTCTGGGAATTCTATGACAAAAAAAAGCCCTGGTTTTATCAGAAGATAGCTGTTAGAATACTAGGCCGGAGTGCCAGAAGAGTCAGGTTCAAAATCTTTCTGTTATTAAGCTTTCTGAATGACTTTGTGCTACTATTTTTCATGGCAACTTAAATAAGAGGATTTTAATTTTGAACTCTTTGCAAGAAGAGAGCCTAGGGTTATCCTAGAAGAGTGAAAGTGTCCCAATCCAGAAGTCATTGCACCTTCAAAAACTCCCAGAATAATTTGAAATTATTTACTATTACCAAAATAGAGTGCCCATGTGGGGCACTTGGATGGGGGGGGGTTATGTTGGAGAAAGATCAATGCATGACAGAGACAGTTTAAATTATAGAGCCTGATCACACGCCAACATAATCTCTGCTGCTTGTGTGCCACTGAGAGCAAAGTAGTTTTGGTGTGTTACAAGGTCTTCAAAACATCCTAGTTGATAATCATTTAAATATGAGCAAGCAGTGTGCTGCAGCTGCCAAAAAAGCCAACACAGTGCTAGGCTGCATTAACAGAGGGTAGAATCAAGATCATGTGAAGTATTAATACCACTTTACAGTGCCTTGGTAAGGCCACACTTGGAATACTGCATCCAGTTTTGGTCACCACGATGTAAAAAAGTTGTTGAGACTCTAGAAAGAATACAGAGAAGAGCAACAAAGATGATTAGGGGATTGGAGGCTAAAACATATAAGGAATGGTTGCTGGAATTGGGTATGTCTAATTACTGAAGAGAAGGACGAGGGGGGACATGATAGCAGTGTTCCAATATCTCAGGGGCTGCCACAAAGAAGAGGGAGTCAAGCTATTCTCCAAAGCTCCTGAAGGCAGGACAAGAAGCAATGGATGGAAACTAACCAAAGAGAGAAGCAACCTAGAACTAAGGAGAAACTTCCTGACAGAACAATTAATCAGTGGAACAACCTGCCTCCAACATAGGAAGTTTTTAAGAAGAAACTGGACAGCTATTTGTCTGAAATGGTATAAGGTTTCCTGCCTGACAGGGGGTTGGACTTGATGACCTCCAAGGTCCCTTCCAATTCCATTATTATTATTGTTGTTGTTGTTGTTGTTGTTGTTATTATTATTATTATTATTATTATTATTATTATTATTATATATTTCCTGATAGCATATTGAAAAATGGTGTCTTTTTCTGTCCTCCTGCACTTTTATGGAGAAAACTTGCATTTTGGTGAGGTGAAGTTACTGTGTGGGTGTTTTCTTTTGTAGAAAGAAGGTGTGTGTAGATAGAGTAAACTTGGTGACTGGGAAGTTTGAAATTAAGAAAGTGAATCCTAATTGGGTGGTAGCTGCAGAATTCAGCTACTGGACAGTGTGGGGCTAAGCAATGATTGGCTTAAGGGCTCCATGTGAGCTCAACACCAAGAAT